CCCGGACTCGGTGGCTCAGCCTGTAATCCCGCGCCTTTGGGAGGCTGAGGTGAGCGGATTGCCTGAGCCCGCAGGTTCGAGACCCGCCTGGGCAGTGAGACCTCATCTCTACAATAAATCAAAAAATCAGCCGGGCGTGGTAGCGCGTGCCTGTAATTCCAGTTACTCGGAAGGCTGAGGTGGAAGGATCGCCGGAGCCCAGCAGGTCGAGGCTGCGGTGGCTGGGAGCGGCCACTGCACTCCAGTCTGGGCAACAGAGTGAGACTCTAACTCAAAAAAAAAAAAAAAAAAAGGAAAAGAAAAGAAGTCTCCTTTTTTATCATTAAAAATAATCTCAGGCCTATAATCCTAGCACTTTGGGAGGCCAAGGTGAGAAGATTGCATGAGCCCATGGGTTCAAGACCAGCCTAGGCAACTTGGGGAGACTTCATCTCTACAATAAAACAAAAAAGAATTAGCCAGACTTGGTGGTGCATGCCTGTAGTTCCAGCTACTTGGAAGGCTAAGGCGAAAGGATTACCTGAGCCCAGCAGTTCAAGGCTGTGGTGGCCGTGAGTGTGCCACTGCACTCCAGCCTGGGCAACAGAGTGAGACTCCAACTAAATAAAAAAAAGCAATTTCCTGGTCAGATTCGGTGGCTCAAGCTTGTAATCCCAGCACTTTGGGAAGCCTAGGAGAGAGAACTGCTTGAGCCCAGGGGTTTGAGACCAGCCTCGGCAACTTGGCGAGACCTCATCTCTACAATAAATCAAAAAATTAACTGGGTGTGTGGTTCCAGCTACTTGGAAGGCTGAGGCAGAAGGATCATCTGAGCCCAGCAGGTCAAGGCTGCTGTGGCCGTGAGCAGCGTGCCACTGTATTCCAGCCTGGGTGACAGAGTGAGACTCCAACTCAACAGACAATCAATCAATCAATCAAACACATACTGGGAGCAGGACTAAGTATCTTTCCCAACGTCTAGCCCAGCACTTTGCAACAGTAGGTATCTCGTGTTGTTGTGGAATGAATGAGGGAATGAATGAATGTAGGTAGATGCATTTCTTACCTTCTTGCTTCCGTTCTGTGGGCTCTTCCTCCTCCTGATCTTCTTCTTCTTCATTGAACTCTTCCTCCTCCTCATCTGTGACAAAGAGCAATTGTGTTAGGATGGGGCTGGTTCCTCAGAGGACCCTCTCGAAGGAGAGCCAGGCTGGAGAGAGCAGTCAGTGCCAAATGGCCACACAAAGACAGCAGTGGCCCAGGAGGCAATGGGCTTGCCAAACCCAAGCTGCCCAGAGGCCCTGCTCCCAGGATCCCCTGCCCTCCTTCCAAGGGAGAGAGGCCCAAAAGGCCCTTTGTCCCGGGAGCAGCAGGAGCTTCTGTCACCTCCTCTGCCAGTGACCAGAGACAGCCCTTGGAGGAAGCACACTTGGTGCTTCTGTATATCTCTCAGAAAACATATGGAGAACCAGACAAAAACTTGAGTCTCAGCAATCAGAAGGCTGTCCTTTGAGATCAGCACCTCCTCTCCTGTTTTCCTCATTTCTTAGTCTACAAAGGGGTGGCTGTGGGGTGGAGATCACCTCTGGGGCCATGTCTGCTCTCTGAAGCTGGGCCCCAGAGGGACAGTGACTGAGCTACATCCCATGTCCTCACTTTCTCATACTTGGGATGCCACCTTCAAGCTTGAATAGAGAACATGCCCCTTCCCCAGCCCTCTCCCAAGCCACCTTTTTAATTTTGGGGGACCCTGGGAAGGCCAATACAGAGTCAGAGCTTTTGTCAAGAGTGTATCCAAAATGACAGCTAAAATTCCAACCAAGTAACTGGGAGCAGTGCATAACCCAGGGAGTTTTGTTGTTTTTAATCATGATCACAATTACTACTCATAACAGCATATGCTGAGGTCTTACTATGTGTCAAGTATTGTGCTAAGTGTTGTGTCCGCATTGTCTCATATAATCCTCACAAGAGTCTGTGAGCTTGATAGTTCTCAGTGGAATCTGCGTGGACTACTTACTAGCTGTGTGGCCTTGAACAAGCTGCTTACTCACTCTTAGCTTTGGATGTCTCAACTACAAAATGGAGATGATAACAGAACCTATCTCATACAGTTGTATTAAATAATAGAATTGGCTGGGCATGCCGGGCTCGGTGGATCAGCCTGTAATCCCGCGCCTTTGGGAGGCTGAGGTGAGTGGATTGCCCGAGCCCACGGGTTCGAAACCCGCCTGGGCAGGCAAGACCTCGTCTCTACAATAAAATAAAAAAATTAGCCGGGCGTGGTAGCGCGCGCCTGTAATTCCGGCTACTCAGAAGGCTGAGGCGGAAGGATCGCTGGAGCCCAGCAGGTCGAGGCTGCGGTGGCCGAGAGCGGCCACTGCACTCCAGTCTGGGCGAGAGTGAGACTCCAACTCAAGAAAAAAAAAAAAGAATTGGCTGGACACAGTTGCTCACACCTGTAATCCCAGCAATTTGGGTGGCTGAGGCGGGAGGATTATTTAAGGTCAGGAATTTGAAACCAGCCTAGGCAATATAATGAGACCTCATCTCTACAAAGCAATCAAACAAATTACCCAGAGATGGTGGCATATGCCTATAGTCCCAACTACTCAAGAGGCTGGGATGGAAGAATCACCTGAGCCCAGGAGGTCAAGGCTGTGGTGAGACATGATCATGCTACTTCACTCCAGCTTGGGCAACAGAGTGAGACTCTGACACAAATAAATAAATAAATAAATAAATAGAATTTATGTCAAGGGCTTAGTACCTAGAACATATAAAGTGTACAATAGGCCGGGCGCTATGACTCATATCTATAATCCTACTACTTTGGGAGGCCAAGGTGGGAGGATTACTTGAACCCAGAAGTTCAAGATCGGCCTAGGCAACATAGCAAGAGCTTGTCTCATATGTATATATACATAATATAATTATATATATGCTAGCCAAGTGTGGTGGCATGCCTGTAGTCCCAGCTACTTGGGAGGTTGAGGCAGAAGGATTGCCTGAAGCCAGATAAAGGGGCTCATGCCTATAATCCCAGCACTTTGGGAGGCCAAGGTGAGAGGATTGCCTGAGTCCAAGGGTTCGAGACCAGCCTGGGCAACTTGGAGAGACCCCCGCCCCCATCTCTACAATATATCAAAAAATTAGCCAGGCAGAGTAGTTCAGCTACTTGGAAGGCTGAGGCGGAAGAATCGCCTGAGCTCAGCAGGTTGATGCTAGTGTGGCCGTAAGTATGCCACTGCCCTCCAGCCTAGGACACAGAGTGAAACTCTGATTCAAAAAATAAGTAAATAACACAAAGTATTGACTTACTCTTACTAAAATTACAAGAGGTTTTGATTTTTAATTCTATGACCTGCTTCTTTTTTGAAAACTTTTCAGACTTGCAACTCAGAAGCTCAAATTCTACTGTCGTTCAACTTTTCCTCCCTTAGAGAGGGCATGAGATAATAACTCTCTCCTTCCACTTTTTTTATCAGCTCTTGTAACTTTTTGTTCTCTCTCCAGTTCTAACTGTTGATGATAAAATGTTTTATCATAAAGATCTAGAAAAGTAATGTTTTTCTCCAGTGTAACTTAATACTCTACCCTTAGCCTTTCTTGATATATCCAAACTTTTCAATGTAATTGACAAATTCTTATGTTGTTCCTCAGAGTCATGTATTCCTCTACTTAGAGCTGGTTTAATGGTACTTCTATAATATAATGTTCACACGTGACCCTGGATACACATTTCCCGTGTCGGATTTAGTCAAGTATTCTTTTTTTTTTTTTTTGAGTCAGAGTTTCACTCTGTCCTCCAGGAGTGCAGTGGCACACTGCTCATGGCTACCGCAGCCTCGACCTGATGGGCTCAGGTGATCCCTTCCGCCTCAGCCTTCCAAGTAACTGGAGTTACAGACATGTGCCACCATGCCCGGCTAATTTTTTGATTTATTGCAGAGATTAGTTCTTACCACATTGCCTAGAATGGCTTGAACCTGTGAGCTCAGGCAATCCTCTCACCTCGGCCTCCCAAAGTGCTAGGATAATAGGTGTGAGCCATGGCGCCCAGGCAAGTTTTTTTTTTAAAACAGGTTTAGTGACTTCCAGTTTATCTAAATGGGTTTCCCATAAAGAGAAGCAATTACATTATGAAAGGTTTTCTTTCCCTTTTTGGTAACTGGCTTTAGAAACCAAGAGTTTTTTTTTTTGTTTTTTTTTTTTTGCATTGGAGTCTCTCTCTGTTGCCCAGGCTGGAGTGCAGTGGACGCTCCAGGCCACCACAGCCTCGACCAGCTGGGCTCAGGTGATCCTTCCACCTCAGTCTTCCAGATAGCTGGAATTACAAGCATGCGTTACCACACTGGGCTAATTTTTTTGATTTATTGTACAGAGGAGGTCTCATTAAGTTTCCAGGGCTGAGCCAGGCTCGGTGGCTCAGCCTGTAATCCCGCGCCTTTGGGAGGCTGAGGTGAATGGACTGCCTGAGCCCGCGGGTTCAAGACCCACCTGGGCAGTGAGACCTCATCTCTACAATAAATAAAAAAATCAGCGGGCGTGGTAGCGCATGCCTGTAATTCTGGCTACTTGAAAGGCTGAGGCAGAAGGATCGCCAGAGCCCAGCAGGTCGAGGCTGCGGTGGCCGGGAGCGGCCACTGCACTCCAGTCTGGGCGACAGAGTGAGACTCCAACTCAAAAAAAAAAAAAAAAAAACCACAAAAATTTCCCGGGCCGGTCTCAAACCCCTGAGCTCAAGCAGTCCTCTTGCCTTGGCCTCCCAAAGTGCTGGGATTACAAGCTTGAGCCACTGCACCCAGTCTGGAAACAAAGATTTTACATTTCATCAAAATAATTCGTGTTGCCTTTATTGGAAAAAATAAGCTTTAAAAAGACTGAAGTTTTTACATCCATGCAATTTTTTTTTTTTGAGTTGGAGTCGCATTCTGTCACCCAGGCTGCGCTCACAGCCGCCGCAGCCTCGACCTACTGGGATCAGGCAATCCTTTCACCTCCACTTTCCAAGTAGCTAGAACCACAGGCTCACACCACCATGCCTGTCTAATTTTTTTTTTTTTTTTTTGAGTTGGAGTCTCA